AGCGACAGCGCTGGGATTTTCTATGAATTTTTTGACCTACGTGTCAATGATAAATATGTCGAGAAAAAGGAAAAGACTTTTAGATCATTAGATTGTGCATTCATTATACTATTGATTATAATATGTTCGATTTTACATTCCTGACAATTATTACAAAATGCGAGGAGCTACCGTATTGAGAACCCCTTTCCGGTTATCGACAAATTTATGCTCGGGCCCTATCATACCAACAGTCCCGTACGCTCCATCGTAGTCCATGCGCCACCGCTACGATTTTTGTTGTTGAACACTTTACATTGGCCCTGTTCATCTCCCCTATAATCTATGATTAAAGCTACTAATATTCATTAATAATTCATAGATTTACATCCATAATCGTTCCAGGTATCATTTACCCTTTTTTACACCAAAAGAAGTAGCCACCTAACTGCCACCTAACAGCCACCTAATTAGGTGGCTGTTAGGTGGCTATTTGCTCCCTAGGGTACATGCGACAAAGTGGGCCCTTTTCACGTAGACGTACACATATACGGAGAGCTCCCAACACTTTCATACTCATAGTCAGCCCAAGGAGCAGTCTCCTGACTGAAATATCGCAAATTATATCTGATGAACATTGACCAATCAATCATTAATTATTAATTTGTGGATTTATTAATTTGAAGCAAATTAATTAATCCAATTGATGAATTCTAATTTTTTTTACCAATTATTATTTTTTGCTAAAAAATAATCCAATTAATTTGGATTATTTTTGGGCAATCATTAATGAACTATTGACTAATTATTTAATTTGGAGCAATACTCACTGTTTGTGCAAATCGGAGTAATCCCACATAATGAGCACAAATTTTGTCATCACTTACTCATTTCGCGGATAAATTAGAGTTTTTTAATTAAAAAATATAAAATTAACTGTTTTTTAAACTTTAGACACTGGAAAACGTAACCTGTATTAATAACAGAATGTTTTTATTGTAAACGAGCCATCACATTTAAATGGTCTAGGGAATTTCCGTCAGCCATACCCGTGTCGGTAACTTGACCCTGTCGGTAATTTGACGCTTTCGGCAGAATGACCCACACCCGAAAAAATATAATTGGGAATTGGGACTTATATACTAATTGTGAGTAAAACTCGATATTCGATAAGGTTACTGAGAAATTGAGCTAACGACATCAGGTGGCTAATGGTAGGGACGTAACACTACATTGGATATTGGATAAACAGAAAAATGGAAATTGGTGGGGACGTTATCGGTTCGACCTGTAATGGGTCATACCCAGTCCTGCCCACACGCAATCGGAACGAGTGAAGCGACCAACAACCCTGTCGAATGTTTTACTGTTACATTTGTTATGCCCCAAAATAATATTGTAATATTAAGCAATAATTCATTTCAAAAGTGAAGACGTCGAACGATGAAATGAATTCAACTTACTTCACCCATGGTTTTGCTGAATCGCTGATTCATGTGCAACACTGTTTGCCATTATAACATGACTCGCTTAATTATTATATAAGCTGCACTCGCCAATATTCGGGAATCCAGTCGTCAACGTAAATCAAGCTTATACTTATTTTTTATCAGCTTGTAATTTCTACGTAATTATCCCGTCTGGATAGTTATGAGTTAGTCAAATAAAATAATACTTCTTTTTTCTACCAATTACTCTACCGGATTTCAGTATTGACCTAGTAGGGAGATTTATCTCCTATCTCAAAGAACCCAGGGAGTTATCCCTAACATTTTTTTACTCTCGTGACCCTTAGATTCGAACCTTATTACTGGTCTTACTTATAACCCTCACGCCTAAACATCGTGAACTTTCGTTTAGGACCCGTATTTCGCACTCTTATGCCAAACTCTTGTGACCCTTATTTCTGACCCCCATTCTCGTAACCCTCAGTTTTGATCCTTGTATCTTTTAGACTGTTATTCCCCCCCCCCCTTCCGTTTTATAATAGATCCATCATTTTACGACCCCTTCCCCCCCCCTCGAATAAAATTTCCATCGTTAAAAAAGAAACAATAAATACTAAATATTAAGGACTCAGTATTTAAATGAATAAGTTTGAGAGTAGTTCCCGCTTGGTTGAATTAAAGTTTCTTTATTATTTAGAGGAGAGCTAAATACTAAATACTTGACTATTTTGTATTTAAGGGTATCGTAAACACTAAATATTGAAGTATTTAATATTTTCTTATCTTTTTAAATACTAAATGAATTCATATTTAGTATTTTCAGTACTACTAAGTATTAAATGATGGATTATTTAGCATTCGAATTGGCATTTAAATAGAAGTGTTTACTTTTGCACATCATTGATGGAAATAGCCGAAAAGTTACAGAAATAATTTTATCTCCATTCCACCACAGAACATGAAGTACTGTATTTCTATTGGTTGACATTCAAATGGGAGAAATGAGAAAAATAAAATTAATATGAAAGTGATAGGTCGAAATAAAAATTTACGAAATTGTCAAAATGATGGCATATGTAACAAAAAGAGGGACATCATGCTTGTTCGATTTCATTATATTTTAATGATTTACTGCTGAATGAAGGATACTTCAACTGAATTTTCCTTTGACATCATTTTCGTAATAAACTATTGCTCGATTTATAACTGATTTATCATCATTATTATTAACATTATGATTATTGTTATTTTTATTGCTATTATCACTGATAGAATCTCTGCTATGTTCATTCGGGAATTCACAAGAGTCCCCAGGAACTGAAGATATTCCGACTGATTTTAGTTGGTCAAGATTAATTCTGTGTTTTGTTTTCCTCGCCATTTCTTCGATGACATTCGTGAGATACTCTAACTGTTTTGCTTGTTGTTGAGAAGCATGGTGAAGGTTGCTGATGTCGTCTGCGAATTTTTGAAGTTGGGCTTGCCTATCTGCTTCTTTTCGAGCTTCTTTGGCTACTTGTCTGTTGTATTCGAGGATGAGACAACCGCCTGCCACTGTGAAGATTATCACTTCGCCCATCAGGCTTGCACCGAGCTCGATTGCCATCTGCTCATTTAACTTTGCTACTTTTGTGGGTTTTCCCAAATTCATTAAGTACATCTTCGCTTTCACTTCTGCCCAGTGGTAGACTAGTAAGGGATTAAAAGCGAATTTTTAACAACTTGACGAATACATTCTGAGAGATTATTTTTATCAAGTTGGGTAATTTTAGAAGTGATAAAATTTAAGATTAAACATTGAAGATTCCATTAGAGATTTGTGAGCAGAACATTAATTCGATTGAGTAAATACCGGATCAAATGGAGAATGATGCAGTTAAAATCGCAAATCATTAATTAGATTTTTAAAACTATTGAAACGGAACTCAGGTTACGTATTGAATGCAATAATTTATAAGCTTCATATATAAATGCACTGATTGCTAAGGTAAATTGTCGGGTTATGGAGAAGAATTTCAATGCAAATTCCAAAGTGGAGCGAATGTAACAGAGGGAAACTTCACATATTTGCAGAAAAATAAATAAAAATAGATGAGAAGGGTAGTTGTCATTTTCATAAACAAGAGATAGTGAGGAGTACGTAATAGTCATCAGTTTCTGACTACTTGCAATTCATGCACATAAAAGAAATGGGTAGTAACCTATTTCTTTTATAATGTCGTTTGTATTCATATTCGTCAAAAATCCCATTTCCCACTGCGTATATTAATTTTGAGCTGCGAATTCCATGAATATCCAATTTAATAATTTAAACTGAAACTTAGTTATCGATTTTGAAACGTAAGCATAAGCTACTCAATCTACTAACTCATCACTAATTCCTGAATTCTTCCTCCGTACTACTACAAACTTTTAGAAATTCCTTGATGGGTTTTTATTCTCTGAATATGAAATTAATTTACATGTGCAATGTAATAATTTTTGAGTCTCAAATTGATTCCCTTTGTATTGTCATTGTAGATGTTGACAACTTCATCCTTGGGTTGAATTCTCGGATAATTCTAGTCAAGAACCCAAAATCCTAAGACTCTATTCCAGTTTCATGAACTTCAAAGCAACGGATTTTTCAAATTGAATATATAAACAATTCCATTATAATATTATCAATCCACATCTAACAAATCCATCGGTTACTTTTATTTATGTCTTAACCCGTTGTTAAGCGCGAGATTTTCTCTCACGCAACGCTAGTGAACTATCTGCAGTGCGAGTGAGATACTAAAAAGAGCGCGGCTACTGAAGGTTAAATTCTCATTGCATCAACTTACATTGAGCAGGTGGGATGATAAAATAATTCCTGAAAACCGGATGATTCTTGGCATTTGTCACAATGACTTTGGCAAGAGGTTTACTAATCTGTTTCATGAATAAAACTCCCAATTTTAGAGCAGGGAATACTCCAACTGCCATGTTGATAGCTCACTTGCCTGGGCAATCAGTGGAACAGCCTGAAAACCAATGGCCCTAATTAATAATTGATATCAAATATTGCTTAACTATAATTAATTTAGACTATTAAATCTTCACAAATTTGTACTGATCACAACGTCACTTGGTTAGTTTTCATATTTTTACGGAAATTAATCCACTATTATTCCATTCGAATGTATCACGAAAAAATCATAGGAACGAGGCAAATTATTGTACCTCTTGAATCGATTGGAAATAAACTGTTTCTATAATTTTTATCACATGAAACAACTGCTTTGTGTAGCATTTCTTTACCTTGGGAATATTTTTGAGGACCCGAAAAGCGCCATACTTGTTCTCAAAACACGAAGTGATTCATACCCTTCTCCTCAAAATTAGTGCCCCTTTTTTCCTTGATCACCCAGAAGAAAATAACAATGTTCCAAGAAAAGTGAAGGTGACAGTGGAGCTACTTGGTCGCTGGAGACGTGGTGCTAATATTATATTGTCAGGTATCTTCACAGAGATGCGAACATTAACGTCGAATGAAAAGGCACCCTTATACAGGAAAGTTTATCAAGATAGAACTCGTGCCGAAAAGTGCCCTTTCGTTTACTCGTAAACGAAAAGTAAATGAAAAAAATACATTTCGGCTACTCGTTGAACCTAACATCACTGTCAAAATAGTATATTGCGATACGAAACGGAATTTTCACAAGTGTGAAGTTGGCGTTTCCGATCTGAGAACAATACTCAGGGTCATGGGGTATATAGTTACTAGCGCCGCCGCGGCCGCAAGCGGCCGCGACGTTGATGCCCATTTATTATGCCTTTGCTTTTTTTGTTTCTTTCGAAAATTAATGATTTATCGTCGTTTTAGTCTATTGAGTGTTAAAGTTAATGAAAACAATGCGTCTCGATTCATTGCTTGTTCAATTTAAATATTATAATAAGTGATGCACTAATTCTGAGTTTCCGTCCTCATTGAATGAAATTTTAATTACTATTGTAATCAAAATTATATTCAGAGTGCAAAACAACAATTATCAAATTTCTCACAGACCATAATTTTTTTGTCTTCGCCTCCCTCTTCATTTCCGTTTGCAACTTGACAAAAGTATTCAATTATTTTTCTACAAAAATTATGGGGTCAATTCTGATCTTTTTCGCTAATTCGAAGTGTTTTCAATTCATTCATGATTTCATGAATTCATTCATGATTTTTTCACAATTTTATTCGACGATGTCATAAACTTCAAACTTTCATCATCTAATCAGCTAAAATTTTTTCAAATTTTCTATAATCTTTCGAAATTTATATGAATTTTTTTCAAGAAACTTGAAAATTTTCGTGGAATTGTGGAGAAAATCTGAAGAATTACCAAATTATTTCCTCCTTTCGCATTTCAATTAATCAGAGTGCAGTATTCGGGCTTTCATGACTGCTTCAAATCAGTTTTATTTGCAAAATGCCGCCCTTTCCTATCAATTGTTTTCCCATTATTGATTCAACAATCCTTGAATATTTGAGAGATATTGTAAATGTTTTGTAATTTTCAAAAACTCCATAGATTGTCTCCAAGTTCTTCAGAAAACCTCATAATTGTCTTGAATTTTTGGAAAACTCCCGAATTATCTTACACTTGGGAAAAAAATTGACAGTTCTGATTTTTTTGGAAACCTGCAACCTTCCTCGAAGTTTCTATAATTCATTCCCTATTCACCCCCTTAGAGATGGATTTTGTAACGAAGCTGAAACACGTATTTATCAATTTCTAACAATCTCTTGATGAGTGCTCACATAAAAGATAAAACCTACTCTAAAATTTTCATATTATCAGTTTCAATAGTTTCGACTTTTGATTACTATCTTAGTCAAGCTGAAGGGCTCTCTTACCATATTTATAACACAATTCCCGTCGGACTCAGAATTCCTTTCTTCCATTCATTGTTCATAATCATTGTCATTGCAAAAAGCAGTGCGACTGATGAAAATGATGTGCCTCAATTTATTAACTATGAAATATTTATAGTGCAATGAATAATCTGCGCATATGCTAATTCCTCTGCTCACTGAATAAGATTTCAATCATAATTACAATCCAATTTCTACTCGAACATAATTCGAAGAGTAAATTGCCGAAATTCAATGTTTGGTGATACTCTGGTAAAAGTGCTTGCCAACACCGTGATACAATTTTTCAATCAGTTCACTTGGTAATTCAATTAATCTATTGTTCATATCATCAACATAATTCCCCATTTAGAATATTGTCACCTCATGTTTTCAGCACCAAATTTTGGAAATTAAAACGTAAAATGACAATTTGACTTCTGCTCGATTCTTTTTTGTGAATCTGAAATTCATGTTAATGTGTCAGATATTATGAAAATATCATCATTCCTGTTCTCTACTGTTATGGAATATTGAGCCACAGCTGTTCATTCATAACTGAATTTCTTTTATTCCTATATTATTATTATTCTTTGTTCAACGTGAAAAAATCTATCATCATTTGCACTGTAGTGCATTCAGATTCTTCTGCACTTCATGTAAAAAATATCATAATAAACTCATAATTCTAGTTATTGATTCTAATCAACTTTGGAGAAAACCTTAGTAAGCGCAACATTAAGAAAGTTGAATCATTCTATTGCCCCCGACCTAAATGATTAGAACAATTATAATTGGTTTATCAATCGAAAATACAGAGTAAGAAATTGGGTGCAGAATATTCACGTTTTCAATGAAAATTCAAGCAACTTTTTATTTTCATACTGTTAAGAAATGTTGAATTCCATTAAATTTTCAGTCAATTTTTAAATTTCATGACTTTTCTCTCTCAATTTAAATTAAATGTCTTGCGCCTAAAAATTACCACTGAACTATCCATGAATTTCAATTTTTTTCAACAGTATAATTGCTAGGAAAAAATGAAGTCGACTTTCTGAAATACACTAATGAAATGATTGGAAAATCACAATTTTCGAAGACCACAATCATTTTTTATATAAATAATCCAATAGCAATCAATGTTTCACTCAAAGAATAATTTTTTTCGTGTAACGGGACCTGAGAAACCCCATACTCGCTTTCAACTCGGAAGGCAATCGTCCACGTGGAGGACGGTGATCTGTTTTCCAAGGCTCGGGCATGTAATGTACTATTCCTGAATTATAACGAATTCTTCCGTTTTCAGAATTTCACCAAAAATTAGGTCCATGGCAAAAAAATCAATATTATTTTATTTTGTCATATAAGTATTGATTTCATTAAACAAACCATCGAATAACCAAAATCGAATGAAAAATTTAAAATTGAATATTTTTAGATTTTCTATTTTTTTTTTCAATTCATTCTCGACATTCAAGTTCATTAATCATCTATAATTTAATCTTGTCAGCTCGTAACTTTTATCACCAAAAAATCATTTCCCATTCCACTAATTATAAACAAATGCGTGTATTATAAAAAATATGCACTGATGTATTTAATGTATACACGGTGTTCGTTTCTTATTCGAGGTTAGAAATCCGATTTGTAATTCTAGCGTACTTTCGTTAGTTAGTTAGTTAGTTAAGGTTTCTGGCTCCGGCTGTTTCGGACTGATGTCCACAGTCTTCCGGCCGTTATTCCCGCTAGGGACTTTTCTGTTTGTTACGATGTAACTATTGCTAGGGGAGAATTTAAATTAATTTGTTGATACGTTTTAAGAAGTTGCAAAGAATGTAAGCGGTTTTGTCACTTGGGGATTGTAGGAGTCTTTTAAGATTACGATGATTAATTTTGGCCTTGGTGAGAGCTTTAATTAAGGGTTTCCTCTGTTCAGAGTAGTTGGGGCATTTCCAGAAAACGTGTTCGAGATCTTCTGGAGCTTTATTTGGGCATGAACAATCCGGACATCGTATGATTTTTTTCCTGGCTAGGCTCTCGTTGAGATTGTGGTGGTTCGACCTCATACGGCAAATTGTAGATATTTGAGGTCTTGTGAGAGAAGAGTGTTGGAACCAAGGGTGTTTCCAACCTCGGTAGAAATTTTGGAAGTACTGGGTACCTTTATTTTTGGCTTGAAGTTTTAGAATTTTGGTGGTGGTTTGTTTAGCATTTTTGTTGGCAATTACGTAGAAGTCTGTGTAGTAAATATTCGTGTCCAGATTCACTCCGGATTTTATGGCTTCTTTGGCCAGCGTATCGGCTGATTCGTTGCCTTTAATTCCCACATGAGCTGGGATCCAAATAAAGTGGGTAGATTTACCTTGGGATTTTATTTTGTTCCATTGGGAGAGAATATCATAAATGATGGGTGATGGGGAGCTTAATGGAGATAAGTGTGATAAAGTGGAAAGCACACTTTGAGAATCTGAGAGAATCAGAATGTGGGAGATGTTGAGATTTTCAATGGTTAGTAAAGATTGGTAGATGGCTAGTGCCTCTGCTGTAAATATTGATGAGTATGAGGAAATTTTGAATTTTAGGTCTAAAGAGCGATCTGGGATATGGATTGAGAAGCCGCAGTAATTTTCGGCAGTGGTTTTTGAGCCATCCGTATAAATTTGGGTGTGATCTTCAAGGTTGGATTCTTGGATTAGTAACTGAAGTTCTAGATTTAGATTTTTGGCTTTTTGAATTTTTTTGCCTAATGAGAGATCGATAGGGGGTTTTATTAGGGTGTGGTCATAAGGAAATAGGAAGGGGGTAGGTAGTGATCCCGTTCGGATCTTGTTTCTGAATTTTTCAATTCTGTTATAAGATTTGTAAATTGGGAAGTCTGATTTAATATTATGGGTATTTTTTCCCTTACGGAGGAGTATTGAATGGAGGGATTCTAGTTTGGAGATGATAGGGTGGTTTGTAAATGAGGAAATTTTCATAAGATAACGGTCAGAGAGCTGAAGAAAACGAGTTTTCAAGGGGGCCTCCCGAGCCTCAGCCAGGAGCACATTCGTTGGTGTGGATTGTCTGAATCCTAACGCGAGTCGAATGGCCTTATATTGAAGTTTGTTAAGACGTTCAAATTCGGAGAGGTTTGATGGAAGAAATACATGTGATCCATATTCAAGAGAGCTTCGGATTAGTCCGCGATAAAATGTTAGGAGAACTCTAGGATCGGCACCAAACCAAGTGTGTCTGAGAGATTTTATCATGGATAGGGCGTGAGTATTCCTTTTGAGGGGTTGTTTAATGTGAGGGGTGAATGAGAGACGGTAGTCGAGGTTAATGCCCAGGAATTTGGTGGATTCGGAGGCTGGGATGATTTACAGTGATGTGGTGGTCTAAGGGGGAGAAGTGTTTACGACTAAAGATGATGAGTTTGGTTTTCTCCTCCGAAATTTCCAACTTACGTTCCAGGAGAAAATTTCGAACGAGGTAAATTGTGTCCGATAGGGATTGAAGAAGTTTGTTGAGGTTCGGGCCTCTTGTCAGGAGAGCACAATCATCCGCAAACATTATAGATTCGACATCTGGGGGGATTATGTGGGGTAGATGTGAGAGATAGATGTTAAAGAGAAGTGGGCTAAGAAGGCACCCTTGGGCGGTGCCTTTAGTTATAGGCTTGGGGTCGGTGAGCTTTCCATTCACTACGAAGAACAGTTCTCTATAAGCTGTGTAAAAGTAAATGAAATCTGCGATTTTTTTGGGAATTCCGGCAGTAACTAAATCAGAGTAAAGAATGGTCGGGTCTACGTTGTCGACTGCAACTTTTATATCTATAAAAAGGCACGCGGTGTATTGGTTTTTCGCAAAACCAGTAAAGGCTTCGGTG